GCTGCTCCCGCTGGGCAGCCCAGCCTCCGGCTCTGCGCGGTGGGGCGGCTTTTTCGGTTTGCAGAGAGAGGTGAAATAAGAGGCAGAACCTCGGTGAGAACTGAGGGCAGACAGATAGAAATAGAGGTAAGTCCAGATAAAGAGGCAGGGCTAGAAATGGAGAGGAAACGATGCTGGGCAAAGTCCGCCGCGGACCAACTGATAGACAAACACATAGAGTGACATCCCATCCCCCCTTATCCCTGCTAGAGAGGCCCAAATAGAAAAAGACAGACAGCCAAAGCCAGGCAGACAGAGTAAGAATAACTTTGACAGGTGGGGACCTACCCCTAGAAGTTTCAAGGGGGAACTGGAGACCCCCTCACCCTCTGCCTTCCACCAGGGTCTAGAAAGCCATATCTCTCATCTGTTTTCCCCTAGCTTCTCCAGAGGAGCAGAAGTTTCAGTTAGCATCCCTGTGAGCAGCAAGTGGGGCGGTGGGGGTTGCCAGGGGGAGAGGGAGGAGGGATGAAGTTCTGCAGATCCCACAAGCCTCCCTGCCCTCTGACTCCGGGAGCCTGAGAGTTCATACCCACCGCCTCATTTCCAAGCTGGGGGGAGAGGCAGTTTTCTTTCACTCTTCCTTGCCAGGAAAATCCCATGTGAACACCTTAAAGTCCAGCCGTGGGCAAATGGCTCCGGCCGGTTTGAAATGAATAAAACTATTGAAAAAAAAGACTATACCCTTTTATGCAATGATGTTTACTTTGAATTTATATTAGTTCACACAAATACTCCATCCATGCTTTTGTTCCGGCCCTCCGATCCAGTTTAAGAACCCATTGTGGCCCTCGAGTCAAAAAGTTTGCCCACCCCTGAAACAGTTACTTAGATCTAATCTAAACACTTCAAAAGAGAAGCCCAAGTTCAGAGGGAGAGTAGAGCATTTGGGAAGGAGGAACTGGGGTGGGAGTAGGGGTGCTAGGGTGTGGAATTGGGGCCTCCTGGGGGTATTTTAGCCTCTTCTGGGTAGAGGACAGTTCCACTCAGTGGCTCACATGGAGCTAGTTGGAGACCCAGCTTCACAAGCTGAGTTTGGTGCATGGGTCATCCCTCTCTCTGGACTCAGAGTCCATTTCTATCAAATGAGGTTTAATAAAAACAGCTGTCATCGTGCCATGCATTCTTCTCAGGGCTACAGATGCTTACTTATTTAATTTGTACAACAGCCAGAATAAGTAGGAACGATTGGTATCCCTATTTTACAGAAGAGAAAACTGGGGTACAGAGAGGTTATGTAACTTGGTCAAGGTCAAAGGGCTAGCATAGAGGGGAACTGGGAATCCACCCCATGCAGGCTGGCTACAAGGTCATCATTCTGGTGCTCTAACCTTTATGACAATGGGGCCCCTGGACAGTTCCTGAAATCATTTATGTAAGGGACTTAGTAAGTGCCCCATTATTGGTAGCTCATCGACCACTATGCCTGTTTGAAAGATGGGGATTGAAGGGCTGAGAGTGAAGCCCAGAGACAGGAGACTTTGGGTTGGAGATAGCTGATAGGCACGTTACTGACCTGGGTACCAGCTCTGAATCAGCGCCCTGCACCAGCCTACACCAGGACTCTCTCTGAATCCACAATAAGCCCCTCCCATTCCCTGGTAATTCTCCAGGGCCTCCATACCAATACACCTTTGGAACTGAGTTAACTCTGAGGTAATAACTAGTATAAACTCTAAGGGAAATGCATTTCTGCTCTCTACAGCTGTGGGGATGACAGAACCAAATGGGGGGGGGTATGTGTGTGTGTTGGGGGCGGGGGGGTCAGGAACCTTGGTACCTTGGAAATGGCTGTGTTTACTTCCATCCCCTCTCTCTCCTTTCTGCAAGTCAGCAAAGCCTTGATTATTTGGAATTCCTCTCCAAAGTTTCACTTCCCAGGCTGGTTTTAGGCCTGCTAAGCTCACAGTGATCAGCATTTTTAGAAATGTCAGCCTTTTAGGAACAGCATGTCAGATACTATTCGAAGCCCCTGGTGACCAGGGTATGTATGCTTTGTTGTGGCATCTGGAACTGATTCAGAATGAGATAACTCAGGCCCTATCCTGGGTGTGTGGGTTGGAGAGGGGATAGCCAATTTACTAACAATACAGGCCGCAGATGAAAAATAACAGCTAGCCCTTACGTCATACTTATCATGTGCCCATCTGTGTTCTAAGAGTGTCACATAATCTAATACATGTACTCCTCACAACAATCATGAGGTAGATACTATTATCAACCCATTTTTCAGATGAGAAAACTGAGGCACAAACTGATGAAGAGACTTGTTCAGAGTATATAGTTCATAAGTCATTCCAAGATCAGACAGTTAGGAGGAAGCTGAACCAGGTCTGGGCCCTGAATCAGTCTGCCTCCACAAACCTGTTCCTACTTCTGTGCTTTGTGGAAGAAAGCTAGAAAAGGGGTACCACATGAGCTCCCAAATAGAGATTAGAGGTACAGATTAAAAAGAGGTAGATTAAAAATATCCGCTCTGCCACTTGTTCTCTCTGTGCTTACTTTGCTTCTCAGAGGCTCAATTTCTTCATTGGAAAATGAGAATAATAATGTCTGTGTCATATCCAGGGTTTCAGTGATAATTCTTTTGGTTGCAGTTAACATAACCCCAGTTATAACCAGCTTCAGCCAAAAAGGATTCTGAACTGAAAAATTTAGGAAGTAGTTTGGGGTTCAGACATTGTCCATGCCAGAAGCTCAAAGGAAGTTGTCATGAATCTGTTTTTCTCTTTACTGTTTTCCTTTGTGTCAGTTTTATTAACAGGATGGGTCTTTCCACAGGAAGGCAGAAATGGCCAATTAAGTAACCTCAAGACAAAGACATCACTTCCTTCCTAATACTTCCAGCAAAAATCTCAGGGTTGACTCCCATTGGCTTGGCTTGGGTCACATGTTCAGCTCTGAATCCATCACAGTTGCTCCGATTGGCCAAGCCCGAGTCACATGCCTATGATTAGAGTTGGTCTGTCCTAAGTCACAAGAACTAGGAGTTGGTGAAAGATCGTTCCCTAAAACAAAGTCAGAGTGCTTTAGCAGAATAATGGGGCATTGGTGCTGGAGAGGTACAGATATCCAATTCCTCATGGAGCCGTTGTTAGTATTAAATACATTTGTATGTGCAAAGTGCTCGACTCTGATAGCTACTGAGACCCTTCCTTCTTCCCTCTCCCATAGGAAACAGGATCAATGGCTCACCAAATCCAAGCCAACTGCTTCCTTGTTCATATGGGGAAACTAAGTTCCAGAGAGGGGAAGGGACTTGCCACAGAACCCAGCTGATCAGCTATAGAACCCATGTCTCCTGACCAGAAACAAACCCCAGTGAAAGTGTGAGCTGAGAAATTTTAGATCTCCCACTAACCATCGGAATTTTCTTTGCATGTCGTACAGGGGAAACTGGAAAAACACAAAGCACTTAAGACCCGCAGGAAGTAAATGCCACTGTGATGGGCTCCCAGACTGTGCCACAAGCTCTGGACTGGTAGATCTGGGCAGGCTGCCCAATCCAGCTCCCCACCCATCCCATTATGAATTCAGCCATTTCCTCTGGGGGCTCTGCACTCTGGGTGCTAAGATCCAAGTGGTCGTTTTTCATGTAGTTGCCCAAAGTAGGCAATATGGCCCTCCCCTTGTTTTATTTCCTGCTCAGTTTGTGAGAACTGATGTGTATCCTTCAGGGCCAAAGTGGGCCAAGTAGCAAGATGTTTTATAGAATTATTAAAATGGACCCTTTCAACTTGGCTCTGAGTCAGTTCCAAAGTTTCTGGCCTAGGGCACTTAGTCTGACTTCTCTAAATTTGGTTAGTCTGGCATGTTGTAAAGCCTATCTGTGTAAAGTGAGCAAGAA